GTTTGGATGTGCTGTCTTCCCAAAGCTCATGTCAAAATCTGATCCCTAACTTGGCAGTGCTGGAAGGTGTTTGGGTAATCGGGGCAGACCCTTCATGAACAGATTAATACCCTCCCTCGAGGGGAGGTAGTGAATGAGTTCTTGATCTATTAGTTTCTGCAAGAGTTGGTTGTTTAAAGGAGCCTGGAACCTCCCCCGCCCGCCTTGCTTGCTCTTGCCTTGTGATCTGCTTGCACCTGCCAGCTGCCTGCCTCTTTCCGCCACGAGTAGAAGCAGCCTGAGGCCTGCGCCAGATGCAGCTGTCCCAAAAAACCTCTTTTCTGTATAAATTACCTACTTGCAGGTATTCTGTTGTAAGCAGCAGAAATGGACTAACACAGGAAGGCAAGGGATTCACCCCTAAAGCCTCCATAAGGAACCAGCCCTGCTGACACCCTGATTTTAGCCTAGTGACACCCACATTAGACTTCTGACCTACAGAAGACAATAAATCTGTGTTGTTTTAAGCCACTAAGGTTGTGGTAATTTGTTAGCAGCAGCAACCATCTATCCTAAGTATGCTTTTGGGAAAGGAACTTGATTTAAAACCGGGAGTCGACAAGCATGACCCACAGCATCTCATCAATCCCGAGGAGTCGCAGGGGCCTGTGGCAAACTGGCTTTGCACCTCAGCTGCTCACCCAGACATTTCACTGGAGAGAGTCTGCTGGATAACTGAACCACTTCAACCTTCAAATCCAAAAAGTTTAACTGATTTTAATGGGAATCTAAAAGTGTTTGACCATGTTTTGAGGCCACTTTAAAGTAAAAATAACTTACCTAATTCTTAGCCTGTGCTCAGTGACAGAGGTAACTGTTATGAACAGCAATTGCTGGGTGCAACTGAGAACCCAAGGGTGGAGCAGGGCTGCCTGGCCCCACATGCCCCAGGCCGCTTTGCTAGACCCCCCCCCCCTCTCTGGAGGTTTTCTCTCCCCATCCACACTACACATTCTAGACTGACAGTGAATGAACAGCCAGAATTCTGGCTGTGTCCTGGCCAGCGGCAGAGCTGGAGCTACTTCATGCCTCTGAACCACAGTGTCCTCCCCCAGCAGTTTTTAGCAGAGCTGGCCTTTTCTGCTGTCAGTGCTGCCAGGAGATGGGGATCTAAGCACCCGAGGAAAGCAGCCAGTGAGTTACAGTAAGTAACACTGCAGGATTTTAGTCAAGGTTGGTGTGTTCATGTCACTTCTGGTTTCTAAACTTGGGAATCTTTTACCCAAAATGTTAGAACTTGGGTAAACAAAGAGCAAGCAAGTTCCAAGCAAGGAACTGAGAGGCTCGAATACAGGTAAAGTGCCTTGGTTTCAGTTCACATATTTTGTGCCCTCTGTTTTTTGCTTCTGTCCTGGATTTTGGCCATGTTAAAAGGTGAGGCTGCTAATTAAATGACTCGCAGATTCTAAGGGACTGTGACCTCTGCAGTCTGGACAAAATATTTCTGAAACGATTCTGGGTCACACAGCTGGCAAGAGTGTATGAAATCTAAACTCCACACCTCTATTTGGGGCAAGGCAAGTTGGAGCAGGAAGGCCACCATGAGGAGCTGTGGCTCTGAGGCCACAGACCCACTCGGAGACTCTGATGGCTCCTCCGTCTAGAATGGGGGGTGTGGCCCTGGACACCTCACGGGGAAAGGAGGGTGCACACAGGGAAAAGGAGGTTTCACCCTGGACCCGAGGACAACTCTGTTCCTGAGGACAAGTCTGTTCCCAATGTGTGGTCACCATGGAGAGTGACAAAGAAGGGAGTGTGCCCACAGAGGCTCATCAAGCTGGCAAGAGGTGCCCCAGGAGCCCTTTGGCCTGAGCTCCCCTGCACCTGTCCCCTCTCTTGCTCCTTTCCTACCCACTCTAAAAATAAACTCCATTGATACAGGAGATAACTAGTCTGTCATGGCTGGAAGACACCTGTGAGGCCATCTTAGCCACCAGGGGACGGCAGCACAGGTGCCCGCTCGGGAGGAGCCCTGTACCATGACTGCGAGGGGCCCTGCTCACATCAGACCACGTGGGGCATTTACTTGGCCCCTGTCTCCTCTCACACCAGGCACTCATCTGTCCTCTTGTGGGGGGCTGGCCGGCATGGTGGTGAAAGGGCATGGACCCTGAAGCCAGGTGGCCTAGGGTCTGATCTTGCTGTAGAACTCCTCAGTGTCTCACCTTCCTCATCTACCGCTGGGTCCTTCCCCCTCTGCCTGTCCTGTCCCTCTCTCCTCAAAGAAGTCCCCAAACAGGACTCAAGCTGCCACCAGCCCCAGGATCTACCAGGCTAAGCTGCCTCCCACAGGCCAATAACACTGGCAGCATTAACAGCTGAGGTTGACCCAATTCTGATTCCCTTTACTGCCTAGGCTGCTCTCTCCATGCAGTGCCTGGCTCTGAACGTGAAGCCCAGATGTGCTCTGACCAGCATAGGGCAGAGTGGGGATAGTCCCCTCCCCTATTCTCCACACCTTGCTTCTATTAAAGTAGCCTGGGAGCAGCCACACTCGGTGGGGGCTACCAGTTTGGGCCTAAAGTCCAACAGGACCCTAAGTTTGTACCACACAGGCTGTGCTCAGAAGAGACAGGTGCTAACAATTATGAGCTCTTGTGGTAGGGGCTCACCTGTGCTCTAGGCTTGGGGCCCCAAGATCAACCTTTCGCAGAAGCCTCTGAGGCTGGTTACCTAGTTCAGGGTGTGAGGCCTTGGCTGTTGGCCCTGTCCCCATGGTAAGTGCTGTAGGGAGACAAGAGGAGAGAGGTCTCTTCTGCCTGTGGGGTCGGACAGGTCCTAAGGGGGTGTGATGGAAGGATTTTGATAATCAGAGAGGTGGGAATGCAGGGGAGGCCAATCATCATCCATTTATTTGGTCCCCTCCCCAGTGCCTGGCACAGATCTCCCAATCTGCTCCCCAACTCTGCCTCCTGACCTGCTCTAGGATCTGGCTCTGGGCCATTATCCACTGAGAGGATTTTGATAATCAGAGAGGTGGGAATGCAGGGGAGGCCAATCATCATCCATTTATTTGGTCCCCTCCCCAGTGCCTGGCACAGATCTCCCAACCTGCTCCCCAACTCTGCCTCCTGACCTGCTCTAGGATCTGGCTCTGGGCCATTATCCACTGAGTCTAACTACAAAAAGCAAATATAGAGGCCCTCCTCTCCAACTACCCACCCACCCCACACCCACCTGCTTCATGTCAATTCAGCTCAGCCCTCTTCTGCCACTTATCCTTCTCCTGGCTAGGGTGCAGGGTACCTGAGGGGCCCAGCTCCTGGCTCTGCCCTGCTCTGGATCTCCAGCCCTCCTCTCCTAGTAAGCGTGGCCAGGGGGCCTGGGCCCTCTGAGACCTGAGTGTGGCCTCAGACCACTGACAGCTCTGGGGCTCCCACTAGCCACTCCAGCCACCTTTCCAGAAAGTCCACAGTATGGACTCGCACCTTCCTGGAGGATAGTGGTCACACCTGCTTGCTGGGCCTACACTGGAGCAGCAAAGCCCACTCCCTCTGCCATTTCCAGCTCTTCCCAGGCCAACCCAGACCACTCAAGTCAACAAGACAACCCTGTCCAAAGAATTTGCAAAGAGCTGGCTTTCCACCTGAGCTTTTTCTGTCTGTCTGTGTGACCAGCGGCAAGTGCTGTGACCTTTCTGGCCCTCAGTATTCTCATCTGAGAACAGGGCTATACCGTCCTACCTAGCACGGACTTTCAGGTTCACAGAGCATTGGCAGCCAGTCCCATGATCTACTTTGTTCCTCAAAACCCCCAGGGGGCGGGCAGGCCTCAAGCCTTTTCACCAGCACACAAGGCCACATCCCTCCCTGTGGCCCCCCCACCTCTCTCCTCCTTCCTCTCTAGATGCCTGGGCCCCTTGGAGATCCATATGAAGACCATAAAACTAGGTTACCTCTCTGGGACCTTCATGGTCCTGTGACCCCAACAATTGAGACAGCCCACATGGTCATGACCTCTGGGCTGAGCTCAGCTACGTGGGGTTGTGTGTGACTTTGGGTAGGCCAGGACACCCCAGGGAGCCTCAGTTCCTCCCTCTGAGAAATGGAGACTGCGCCACCTGACCCCATAGCTGCCAAGGCGGGTGTGAGCTATCAGAGTGACACAAAGGAGGCTGTACAGTCCCAGGCCACTACAGCTGTGCTCAGGAGGCCAGGCAGCTGGTGCATCCCTGAGGCCCACAACCCAAGAACTGTGGAACTGAGTGATGGACGAGGAATGACTGAATGAGGAGGCAGACCTGCTTTTCTGTTCTGCAGACTGAGCTCTGTCCAAGAGCAGCCGTTTCCTCTTCTCTTTCTCCCAACACTGGCCCAGGATCCGCCCTGCCAGCAAGCCTCCCAAGACACCCTGAGTGGTGTGTGAGAGCAAGGTGGTTTGTTCCCTGAGAACTAGAGGTACTGGATGGTGGCCTCCCCTTTAGGAGAGAAGAAAGATAAGGACTGTGATACCCTGAACCCTTCTCTACACTGGTGCCCTCCTCAGCTTCCATGTTGCTGACGCTGGGGGTACTAATCGCAAATGTGGGGGTTGACTACAAGCAGAGGAGGTTTACAGCAAATGTCTCCTTACACGCACAGGCCATTAGACACTGCTCTGGGTTCTTTGCTACAAACACACAAACAGAAACAAACGTGTTTGATGGAGGATACAAACTTTACAAAGAAAAAAGTGAGTTCACATCTGAAGTAGAGCCCCCCACAGTCACACAACACACATAACTCAGACAGGTGGGCACACCCTACTCCACACAGACACATGCCCACATGTACACGCTCACACCCACATGCCAGCACGCACATGCTCACACTCACACACCCCACAAGCACGCACACCCCACACACGAGCACACACACACACACACACATACCCACATGCTAACACACACCTGAGACACACATCAGCACACACACACACACAAAAGTGCAAGTATGACAAAGGAAGTGGAAGAAAAGTGTTACCCATGAGTAGCCGCCGTTTCACCCGCTTGTCCACATCAGCTACTGACGTGGCATTGAACTGAGAGCGCTCAATTGCAGCCTCATCCTTCTCTAAAACACAAGTAAGGGACAAACACGGAGCCGGTGGTTAATGAGAGCCCACTTCCCGCGGCCCAAGACAGTCCGCCTCTCAGCGTGGCGCACACAAAGCCAACACAGCACGCTGGGCCAGCATGGTGTCCTCACCAAGGGGCTAATCCCAGGAACTTCCACGGTGGGTGTGTTTAGGGCCAAGCAAAGAGGCAGCGAGGGCGGGGTGGAGGAGACATGCAGAAAAGGAAGGGTGACCACAAAATGCTCTGGGACACAGATGGAACACAGGGCCCATGTGCAAACAAACAGAGGAGAAGGCTGAGGTCAGAGCAGACAGGACTCATTTGCCGAGGGCCACAGAAGCAGACAGCACCACCGAGGTGCTCACAGAGGCACAAGCGCTTACAGACCCCCACGGCTCAGGCTGCAAAGGCAGGCATAGAACAAGGCACAGGAAGGAACAGGGCTGCGAGGTCCGGTGATGGATGCACCTGGGACAGCAGATGCCCTGTCACGAGGATGCAAAAGTGTGTCAAACACTCATGCAAAATTAAGAACAAAACATATGGAGGCACATACACATATACACACACGCACACAAGAATGGATCTAGTTGAATAGACAGAAAAACCATGGGATCGATTTGGGCAGCGCTGGTTGCCTGCTTGTCTATAGAGGACTAGAGCTAAACATTCAAGTGCTCAACGAGGGGTTGCAAAGAGGAGTTAGTCGTTTTAGGAGTGTGCGGGAGAGAAATGGCCTAGGGCAGGCCAGGGAGCATTCTGGCCACTTGGGCACAAAGCTCTGCCAAGATGCTTCCTGTGGAGGAGCACGTGAGGTTAGCTGGTTTGGTTGTTTTAGGAGTGTGCGGGAGAGAAATGGCCTAGGGCAGGCCAGGGAGCATTCTGGCCACTCGGGCACAAAGCTCTGCCAAGATGCTTCCTGTGGAGGAGCACGTGAGGTTAGCTGGTTTGGTTTCTCTGCTCAGTTGGAAATGTGTGGCGACATTCATTCCCGAGGGGGGAACTGATGAAGAGTGAGCAAAGTCAGATGAAAGGTTTCTCATCCTGGCCAGAAGTGGAAGCGACAGCAGCAGGAGTTGGGTAAAGAAAATGATTTCTAACGAGAGGGGAGGAAAGAGGGCACTCGGGAAGTTACTCTAGAAAGCAGATCCAAGCAGGGACCTTCACATGCAGCAGACACCAAAAAATAGAAAAATAATAAAAGATGAGTCAGGTGGACAAAGACAAGATGTGTTAGACAAAGGCTGGGTGTGTGTCTGGCCCGGCAGCTGTTTGCACTGGTCCAGCGGCCGCAGAGCCGGCTCCACTGGAGACGGCAAACTCTGAGGGAGACCTCGAGCGGACAAGACAGGAGGGAGGCGGTGTGGCCCAGGAGAGTCCCCGGGCAGGACAGCAGCGGGAGAGAGGCCAGAGGAGAGGAGGTTCTAGATGGGATCAGGCTGCAATAGAGACACTGGTCTGAGACCAGATTTGGCTTTTAATTTTTTTTTTTTTTTTGATTGGTTGGTTTGGTTTGGCTTTTGGCTCTGAAAATAATTAATGAACGTCAGTTATCAGACAAGACAGGCAATCAGGGACCATCACCAGAAAAGCAGGAGGAATGAGATAAAATGAAATAAAAAATGGCTGTCTGAAAGAAGAGACCACACAGAGGAAGGGAGAATCACCGCAGGCAGCAGCACCCTGTGACTACAGCCCCAGACTATGGAGGTGACGGCCCAGTGCCCCGCCCGGCCCAGTGCCCAGCTCCCTGAGACACAAGGGGCAGAGTCACAGGGTACAGGATGCAACAGCAAACTCTGGGCTGCATGTGCTTTTGCTTGCTTACCAACCCCTTTTCTGTTACTTGAAAGTCCCTCAAGAAATGTATTCTGAGTTGACAATGAGAAATGGTTCACGGACTGAATGGGAGAGAAGTCCAGCGAGAGTCCCGTGAGCTCAGAATGAAAAGCAGTGAAAACACCCAAACCTCACATAGGATTCACACCATCCGTCTTCCCTGGAGTTTAAGACAATGAAGACTTAAAGCAGTGTTCTGAGAAAACCTCTTGGTTTTCCAGACAGCTGTGGGCAGCTCACATAACGAGTGGTGGCTGTGATACAGATTAAACGAGTCTGGCTGTGCGTTTCCCCACATTAGGGGAGGAAACACCTGCACTTCAGAACTAGAAGATGCCTTTCTTAGGTACACGCACCTTCCTCCTCCCCACAGACCACCTGTAGACTAGTCCCCACATCAAGGACGAGGACATGCAGAAACGGCCCCTTCCTGTCAGGGAGGCCTGAGTCAGGAGTTGTGGGGAGCACAGAGCAGAGGAGCTTGGCCCTGGGTGGCTGCAGGACACTGGACATGTCTCCACAGAAAGCTTCCCTTGGGGATGCCTGTCATTCCCATCCTTACCATGGGGCCTTCCTTTCCATGTTTCCCTTAAGCTTCCTTCTGGGAAACCGGGACTTGGCAGGGTGCTGGCAGACTTCGGGCCACATGGTGTGCCCCCTGGGGAGCAGGGCGACACAAGGGTGTGCACAGCAGAGGCGCCTACTTACCAATGCACGTCCGACCGTCTGAATGGAGGGCGTACTTCTGGTGGCAGCCGCACATGGGGCCCGTGTCTGTGTCCTCGCAGCTGTGCTGGCAGCCTCCGTTTCCATAGTTACAGGTTACTAGTTGGGCCCAAAGTGTATACACAGAAGGACAACAAAAACGATTAGTTTGTTGGTGCTGGTTGTTTCTCTTAGGGATGGGGAAGGAAAGTGAGGGTCTAAAATCGTCAGTGGATAGGATCACTGAGGCTTGCCAGGCAACAGACGCACATTTCCCTGTACTTTAGCCCCTCCAGGGTCTTGGACCGAGAATGGGCTTTGGGTTGTCTGGGCTTTGAACAGAGCCAGCACACAGCTGAAGACAGGGATAAGCGAGACAGTTTTATCCTTCCTATGTTGCAAGACACTTTAAAACTGCCCGTCTCGATGGAACAAATGTCTGTTAATACCAGAACATACTTGACGACCTGTGTGTGGTGGTTCAAGTGCCTATGTCTTGGGGTGGGTGGAAAGATGTCTCCACGGATGACCATCCTCTTTGGGTCCCAGTGGCCATCTCAAACTCTACCCCCTCAAAGCCCTAATCCTTCCAGCTTGGCAATGTCCAAACACAGATTAACGTCATGTGAGGTGCAGTTTTAAAAATGACCTTGATAAAACATGTTATGTAGTTTGCAATGCCTGTGGCTTGAAGGGCTTGTGCCCTTCAGCCCAGAATCTCAAGATGGTTCACAACATCAGCAAACCTGGATCAGCTGAAAAGAGGGCTAAACAAAAAGGAGCCAGTCTGAAGCAGAAAAACGACAAGTCAAGTTTATTTAAAAGAAAACACATTTTCACTTTCCAGGGTGAGATATCACTAGAGGAGAACAAGGGGATCCGGGATCTCTATGGGAGGGATCGTGACAGCCCGGCTTACCATGCCACTGAGACAACTGCGAGCCTGTCACCGGCCAGCAGAAGGTACCCCAGGGCCTCAGGGGCAGGGGGCCTTCTTAGATACCTTCACCATTTGTCCAGAATTCTGTCTATACTCTTAATTTACCTGGCAGAACCCTAATGATGATCAAATATGCAAAAATAAATCTCAGACCAGCTATGGTCAGAAGGGCTAAAAACTTCAAGCCCTGAGAGTTTGAATTAATTACGTTCTGTTAGGTTGACCCATTAGCATGGTGGTAACAGAGCAAAGTCATTGGGAGCAACTCCTTGGGGAAGAATTCCAAACATCTCAGAACTGACTTCTGCGATGGCATTTCTCGGGTACTTCTCCTTTCATGAAAACAACAACACAGACCCTTCTGGACGTGCCTGTTCTGAGCGATGGTGGCCCCTTAGACTTGAACATATGCAGTTTCCACAGCAGGTAAGGAGGATATAGGGCATGGCTTGATGGGGACAGCTCAGCGTCCCACATGCTGTCCTCAGCAACCAGAGGCTCTAATGGGCTGCTCCCTCTTCCATAGGGATCTTCCATAGATTCCCCCCCCAAGGTAGGGATCTAACTTCTAGGGTGAAATTTCAAGGACCTGTAAGATACCTCAGGAAACACTGGGGAATTGAGCACAAAGCCGTCTGGCCCCTACTCCTTGGGAGCATCTTTTCTCTTAGCACTTGAGGGTGGAGCTGGCATCCTGGAGTCACATTCTCTCATCTTTGAAACAGCTCTAACCCAGCAAAGCCATGGGTTCCAGGGGGCTGTGGCTCTGCACAGATCTCAAGTGAGGAGGAGAGACCCAGGCAGAGTCCCATTTTGGTCTGGACATCACGTGCATTTTCAGGTCTGAGAAGAGCCCCACTTCAGAGTGGTCAGGGGTACAGCTGGGCAGGAGGCAGGATAGTGCAGATAGTTCTTCCCAAGTCTGGGCTCCTGGAGATGGACTGTGCCCTGAAAATGATCCTAACGAGGACACAGAGACCTGTCTGAGGCAACTTGAGAGAGGTTTACGCTCAGGGCCCCTTGCTCCTTCCACACAGGCATTTGCGCATCTCACAGAGCCCTGTGCATGAGCCTTTGAGCACCTGGAGAGCCTAGAGCTTGTGCCTGGAAATACCTGAGCCCCAAACTCAGAAGGCAAAGAGAAGGATGGAAAAAACCTTTCTGGCCCTGGTGTGGGTCCTGGGCTCTGGAGGGATGAGACAGTTTGGTGCAGAGCCCTGAGGTCTCCCTGGTCTAGAGAGGCTGGCTAAGCCAGGCCTTAGCCCCCAACCTAACTTGAGATCCAGAAATTCCTGGACAACATGTGACCTCAAGGGCTACAGCGAAAGTCTCATAGCTAATTTTACATTAGCCTTGTCTCATTAACCACACAGAAGGAACCAAAGCTGGACTGGCTTGGCAGCCACATGTGCAGCCCCTTCATGGGAGGCCGCAGGGCAGTCACCCACTCCTTGGCCCCTGAAATCACATCAGGTTCTCCACACCTTGGCAACACCCAGCGATGAGGGTGCGACTGCTGTTTCTGAAACCAGCAAACGTTCTGGGCAAGGGTTTATCTCTTCTCTGACCAGGGGGTGGTTGGGGTAGGGGTGGAAGGTCTTAGCTGCTCATAGACTCCTGCCTTGTCTCTGACCTCTCAAATCAGGCCAGCCTCTCAGGAGATGCTCTCTGGGCAAACTGTCCCCCTTAGAGCACTTGTCTCAGATGGAATTATGGAATTAGGTAGCAAGCCATGCCGGCTTGCAGCCCTCTTCCCAGCACTGGCCCAGAGTGGGTGCGCTGCCCATTTTCTGATCGAAGGAAAGCACTTTCCTTCTGGCCAAGGCTATCAATGAGCCTGCCAATTCCACGTATTCTTGTCCTTCACCTTTTTTGTGAAGAAACTTGGATCACCCAACAGGGAGGACTGGGAGAGCTGGAGATAGCATTTTCTGTTCTGAAAGTGGGCAGGTGGCAGGAGGTTTCTCTGAAGTTAAAAGAATCAGTCTGGTATAGAGAAGGCGGGGGGCTCTGGCTGGAGTTTCGGGGCTGGAGATGGGCATTTCCAAATCAAAACGGTCCCTGTTTGGTCCTGCCCTTGGTGACAGCATATATGTTTATCTTTGCTATCCCACAGGAAAGAGCCAGGAATAAAGAGAGGACTTGAACCATAGGTGGGGAAGAAGGAAGCACCTTTGCTTTGGGGAACGGAGGGATCACGAACGGGCTAGAACATGAGTTCTTGGAGATGGATGCACGTGCATCTGATGCACATGCATGTGTGTCCTTAGGGCCTTGCTGAGTGTTCAAGGAGAGCATGAGTTGGGAAAGGAGGAGTCCAAAGGAGAGCTGATGACAACTGAGAGCACCATGGTGACTAAGGATGACGGAGGAACCAAGGGCCAGCTGTCTTCTCCACAGAATGACGGATGGAAGAAAGGCTTTTTTTGTTTGTTTGTTTTGACAGCGAGTCAGCCTCAGTCTCCCATTTCAACAGCTAGGGTGAGGACCACTTTCTCTGCTGGGAGTTTGAATTGGACTTCTCCGTACTATTTTTCTGCATCAGAAGGCGGGCTTGGTATGAAGAAGGCGAGCTGGCCAGAGATGCAAAGTGCTTACAGCAGCCCCCCTTGGCTCTTTGCAGACACAGGGCAAACATGACATCAGTCTGGACATCCTGCTGCCCGATGAGGAGAGGCCAATCCCAATTATCTCCCACAGCTGTTGGGAGGGTCTGCTGGGTCTGAAGCGTTTGAGGACTAGATGAATGTGTTCAGCCAAGCCACTGTTCTACTTGGTTTACCAGCTCCCACTCCTACTGGGGAGCTGGGTGACCATGTTAAGAGGATGGATTACTCTTGAGCTCTGCAGGCAGACCTCCACGCAGGTCCTGGAAATGGCGCCTTTGGCCAAGGGCCTCATTCAACCCAGATATCCCAGGATATCACCATTTGCAGTCTGTCTTGTAGGGGTCAGACTGCGAGCTCTAATCTTCGATCCTAGAAATAAGGTCAGCACAGCCCGGAATGGAACCCCCCAGAACCACGCTCCTTTCATTCTTTATACTATTCTGTTACCAAGGGCTTCCCAGAACCATCAAGAAATCTGGGCTCTAACACCTCTGTCCATAGCCCCTCCATTCCTGCTGGAGAGCTCGGGCTCAGGGCCAGACATAAGATCTGGCCCAGCTCCTGGGGTGTGTCAGTGGTGTCATGCCTGGTGGGGAAAACCCCAAGCCTGGGGTTCACAGCCTCTGTCCCTCATGCACCGTACCCCACTCACCCCGGCCTTCAGCTGGCCTTGCCCTTCTCTCCACCCCATGGGGCTGAGAGTCCTCCCTGGCCAACATCGAGCCAATTGGACCCACCACAAAGCAATGGCAGGAGACGTGTGGGGATGTCTGACCCATTTGCCTCCATCTACCTACGTGTGCAGTCCTTCTGGTTTTGGGCAAGGTCAAAGCCGGGCCTGCAGTCACAGGCTACCCCACCTTTGGGCGTCTCCCGGCAGATGTGGGCACAGCCATGGTCTTTGTTCATGCAGTTCATACCCTCTGGGAAAAGAGACAAGAGAGGGGTTGGGGGCCAGGGAGAGAGAGGGAGAGAAAAAATTTCAGGCTGAAAAGACATAGCCAACGAAATGTCACAATCAAATGGTGTGCTCCTGGGTTGCCATTGCACATTGTCTGCACACATGTGCACATGGACGCCCCCCTCCCAACACATACAGGTGTGCACCAGCCATCCACATGGAGATCCCTTAGGGAGAAAACAAGGGCATGTGCCTGGGTCTAGAGCCAAACCTTGGTCTGTGAGCTGCACTGTAAACGACACCTGGGGACCCAAGAGGCAAAGCTCCTGCCCTAGGTCAGATGTAAGGGTGGGGTCTGTGGAGCTGTTTTTAGGTCAGGGCCATTTGGCCCCCTGTCCTTAGTCACCCATGGTTATAGGACATTCCCCCCAACCCCCAGCAGACTTGACCTCTACTCCCTGTCTGTCTGTCTGGAGTAGCTCAGACCCCCTTTGGTTGACCCCAGTTGATGTTCATCTTCCTGGTGATTTGTGAGGAGTTTCCAGAATTTATGAGGTCAGGGGTCAAGTGAGAGACTACAGGTCACAGGTCCATCAAGAGGCCTCTAGCCTACCTTGTCTATACATCTTACAGAAGGAGAAAATGAGCCCCTGAGATGGGGAAGGGAATGTTCTAGACCATACAGCAGTGCTGGAACTATAGAGAAAGTGAAGGAAAATGGTCAAGGCCCCTCAGATGTTCAGAATCTTGCCGAGCATTTGATGTAAATACGCATGTGCGCCCAGGTGTTCCTTGGTTATTGTCTAATGTAATTGCACATGTGCACCCAGCTGTCCTGGGTTATGGACTTAAGTACAAAGGATGAGTGGCTCTGATCCACGGTGCCCCCTGTCACTGGGGGGCGGGGGTACTGCTACTGGACGCTGTTGCTGCTGCTGCCAGGGCCTCTGGGACCATCCAGGAGGCCACTGCTGCTGCTGCTGCTGTTGCTGAGGACTGAGCTCGTGTCGTCTGCCAATGGCTCCTGGGACCTTTCTCAATGACCTAGCTCATGGACCTGTGTGTGAGGGGTCTGGTGACCCAGTCTGTACAGTGGGTTTGAAGGGTTTGAGCCCTAGTCCTGACAATACAAATGGAAACTTAGTATAAAAAACGTTTTGGCTTTAGCATAGCTATTGCTGTAACCCGACAATTGGCGTAGCCATGTAGCTTTACAGTAACCTATGCCATTGGGCTCCCAGCCATGGCTCTCCCACCCTGAGGTCACTGGGCTACACTTGTGGGACCCTGATGGCTGACTGGCAGCAAATGCTTCCTGGGGTGAACAGAATTAGGAACCCGGCATAGAGTTAGCATAATCCATGCTGTCTAGTATTGTTAATTGTCTGCAGACTTAAAAGCTTATGAAAATTCAAGGCCAATTCAGATGCTGTATCCTTTGAAACTCTCTGAGCAGCCCCTCAGCAAAGCATATAACCCTTGGCTCCTCTTCTGACCTTCTATGGCTGTCACTGGAAGGTGTGAGGACGCTGTCCCAGCTCCCCTGCATCACAGGACGTCGTCTCTGACCACCTCCACCACCCCCCTAGCTTTTACAAACCGCATGAGATTTCCAACCCCCTTGCCCATCCAACAGCTTGAGTCCCCGATAGGGTCCTCTGCAGCCACTGTGGGCCTTCCATTCCCTCTAGAGGCACCAGAGAGGCCTGGGGCAGACCTGGCCCACACCCATGGCAGCTGCTCCATGGAGGGTGGCGGACTCTGGCTGCCTCTCAAGCAGTAGAGAGCAAAATGGCCTGCCTTCGAGACCAACTCCTTCACAACCTCCCCTTCTCTGGGCTTGGTCTAGAAAACTGATTCCTCCTCTGCCTAACTGATGCCTTCTTGCTTCTCGGAGCAGCTCAAGTTCTGACCCTATGGACCATGCCAGCTGGTCTTGGATTTCTTGGCTTTCTGTGCTCTTCCTCCCAGTTCGAAAGATGCTGATGGGTGGCTCTGTATCTCCTCCTGCTGCTGGTCTCTCCCACTAGATGGCACGTTCCTTAGGCAGGAGATGTGTCCTGCTCACTGCTGGGTGCTGGCACCTAGAACTGTGGTTGCACCCAGCAGACACCCAGTCTTTCTTACGTTTACTGAGTGAGCACATGGAAAGCCACCAGAAGGAGAGGCCAGCTCCAGGCCCATAAGATGGCCTGGCCATGTGCTCACCACCATCAAGGCACCTTGAGGAAGACTGTGGCACTTAAAAGAGGGGCTTAGGGCTGGAACCCACCCCACAGTATACCTGAGCCTCTGATTAGCCTTCTCTGGGACTCTGTTTTCTCAGCTGTGAAATGGGGATGTAATAATCTGTACCTCCTAGGGTTGCTGTGATGCTCAAATGGGATAACTATATTATATAGAGTGTGGCAGAGCAGGTTCTCAACAAAATGTCTGTTATTAGAGCGCTTCTGCTTTGCTCCTGCTCACTCTGCCTTGCATTAAATAGGGACAGTTGCTCAAGTTGCTCTCTCTCTCGCCAGCCATAGGTAACCTGAGGGGAGACCTGAGCTTTATTCATTTCTGTACCATAAGCACCCAGCACAGGGCCTGGCACAGGGTTGGGGCTCAGCAAACAGTGGCTGAAAGAAAGAGAAGAAAAATGAGTGGAGGAGAGGGAAGGATGGAAAAGGAGAGGAAGGGGAGAGGAAGGAAGAAGAGAGAAATAAAGGCTGTCCTATCTCAGAACAGATCAAACCCCCTGTCCGTTATTTTAGGGGGCAAGGTGAAAATGCTACTGTGGCGGTTCTGGTTGTGTGTTCTATGAAACACAGCACCCTGGATGCCTGATGTAGGAAATTTACAACACACGTGTATTAAGGGCTCTGAGAAGTCCTAGAGTCACCATGGAACAGTCTCCTTCCCCCTCACTTAACACGGTGTCCTCGACTGGAAGGGACCCCAGGACTAGGAGGGTCTAAGGATGGCCCCTCCAGCTCCTCACCTTACAGATGAGGCAACAGTGGCACAGGGACTGGGACAGCAGGCTGAGGCAGAGACAGGGCACTGGCTCTACCACCTACAGCATGCATGTCTTCCTCTGTGCCTCACAGACTCGGGGCAAGAGTGGGTGGCACTCGCTCCCTGCCCTCTCCCAGGAGGGCCATCCTGAGGGTAATGAGCTAAAAGGAGAAAATGCCAGCTTGTTCCTTCCTGCAGGTAGCATTACTGGGACAGCTACACCAAGAGCCATGAGGCCAAGTAGACATTTGAAGGTGAGAAGGTGAACCCTGGGGCAGGTGAGATGTTCGGACAAGCACTTCTGTTCCAGAAGAATGCCCTGGGCTTTGTATTGGAAGGGACTTTGTGGGTGCACTGCTCCACCCCTTCTGCTGTGGCCTCAGGAGCAGTCCCTGCCCCATCCTAACTCCTCTGTGCCAGCCAGGCCCACTCTGGCCAGCTCCGGCTAGCAGACTGTTTCCACATCTCCACTAATGCCAGCCTGCTTGTTCCTCAAGAGCAGGGCTGAGTCCATTCACGCCCAACCCCAATCCAGAGGCTGAGACCCAGCCCGGGGCCAGGCACACAGCAGGATTCTGTAAGCCTGTGAGACTGAAGGGCCCTGACTCAAAATGTCCTCCTGTGGCTCCCTGCTTAGTACCACATCTGCTCTTGGGAGCCATACAACATCTCCCTTGGCCTAGATAGGGGGAGAGCCACAGAGTGATGAATTCAGCAGAGGCCCTGTTTGTCTCCCCTCCTCGAGGGAAGTAAGATAGAATTTCAGAGTCATTCCCAGAAATCTACATCTTCAGAGGCCTGGTGTCCATCAGGCCAGGCTGTGCGCCAGGTCGAATCTAATCTGATTGAACCCATTCAAATCCAATTACGTTCTGCAAACTCAGACCAAGGGTCTCCTTGGTGCCCAAGACGAGTCAGGGAGTAATGAGGAGACAGATGCTTTGCTGCCACATCTCCAGGTCCAAATTCATACTCTGCCACCTGCTGTGTGACCTTGGGCAATTCACTTCACCTCTGAGCCTTAGTTTCCACTTGTGTAAAACTGGACAGGTGTAGGACTTGCTTCCCAGGTGCGCACTAAATGTGCAGCCCCTTCTCTGGGTGAATGAGGTGACTGGCTAAGGGTGCAGCTAGGGTTGTTGTGGGATTTCATTCCAGGCAGGAGGGAGCCACAGAAAGGTTGTCAATATGGGAGTGATGTGTTTAAGTGTCAGAAAGATCTCTAGATGCTGTGTGGAAGGTGCCCTGGAGGGGCAGGACTGCAGGCCATAAACAAGTGTGGAGGCGGTTGCTACCACCCCAAAAGGGATGAAGGAGGCTGGTGGGAGGGCAGTAGCTGTGGGGACAGGTAGGAAGGCTGGGCTGGGATACATTTAAGTGCCTCTTCCCTTTACTTTTCTGGAAGACACGATGTATGAACTTGGGCCCTGACTACACTTTTAATTGAATCCTCACAACAAACCTTAGAAGTGGCCGCTGCCATACCTGTTTCACAAACAAGTGCTGGGTCAGAGCAGGGGAAAGATGTGTCTGCCACACTGTGACGCAGAGGCAGGGTCAAGCCCTGGGGTGTGCCTTCTTCTCCCAAGTGCCCAGCGCTTCCTCCCAGTGGGCCCCTCCCCCAGCTCCTTGCCGCCTTCTCTGGACCCTCTGACAGCCCCACCAGGGCCTCTTCTGCCCAAAAGTCTTCCATCATTTCTGGATACTCCCCTAGAGCGTGCACAGAAAGAAACGACGGCAGCATGCACGCCCATCCTCCGCAATGCAAAGGCCCCGGATGCGGATGCGGCTAAAGGAGGGGGAGCAGCAGGCCCTGTGTGTTTGTATTCAGAAGCTAGGCCTTGCCTGGGGCCCCTGGCCCGGGATAACAGAGTGGAATGTGTGCCTCCTGAGGGTCGTTGCTATAGCGACCTCATCAATAACATCATTTTCCACATCCATGTCCCTTAAACACATGGGAAGGGGCAGCAAGCTGGGAACGGCAGATCAGGGAGAAAAGAACAGTTACCCTGCTCCGCCCTT